AAATAAAAAAGCTAAAAGAGACTTAATATCAAGTTGAAGAAGAAGACCTGTAGCACACATAATTACCTTCCGAATGGACAATTCCCTTTCATGCATACTTTATCATCCCTAAATTGTTGCCTGCTTTTGTTTAATTCTGTGCATTTTTGCTGCTGCTCCTTATTGCCATATTTTGTTCCTCTCTCATCTCCACAATTTACTTCTTAACCTTTTATTTTTAAACTCTTTTTTTTTTTTTTTTCATTGCTTCTGGTTGAGAAATGGCAAAATAATTGCGAAGCTGTATCATAGCATATAGAATGTCGGGTGGGGATGAGTCTATAGATGATGTTGTTATCTGACAACATCAAAAAACTTACGTGAGAATGATTTATGCTCATATTATGACGCAATTTATGAATTATTACATCCATAATTTGACGGCTTACATACACATATCATTTTTGGCTAAGGTGCATGTGCATGTCATGCATTTTCTTCTTTTATCGTCGACTCTCTTTATATCTTTTATTTCTCATTCTTTTAAACATAATAATTCTTATCTTGTATATGAATGAAATATTTTTTTTCCAACCGTATGTACGGAGATGTATGCAAACGCAAACACGAGGATGTATGAATAAAGTTGTAAGATCTTATTTGGCAATATATAAAGTTTCTGGATGACCTGAGCGCATTTATTTGATTTAAATTAATTTTTGATTCAACATTGAGTAGCTTTTAGGATATATTGAGATGTATATTTAATAGACATCATTAGATGTTGATGAAGCTACCCAAATAGCACAAGGTGGTTAATAGAATAGAAATCATTCGTCATTCTCGCATGATACTGGTTTAGTGCTGACTTCGATTTTAATCCAGCACCATGACAGAGTCACACCGGCTTGGTGCTGGATTTATGATCGATTAACCGACATTAGCCATTAAGACTAGCTTATATAGTGATCTGTAGACTCTGCTGCAACAATACTAGAGTTCTGAACAAGGAAACATGAACTTTGAATCATAAAACTCAATATTAAGCTCATCGATTCAAAATATAATGTATGAAATCTTAGACTAGCAAACTACTGCTGATTTAAATAGCTTTTGGTCAATTAGGCCTTAATCCGAACTCATTTCATGCATTTATGTCCCTTAAATCATTAGCAAGTTGCTTTAAAATGCTTCAAATCATCTGCATTACCAAAGCTAATCTTTCTAAACTTCCTAAATGCCCAGCCATCAAGCCAATCAAACAAAATTCTCGAAAAAACTCAACCCCCTCAATATTCACGCTATGCTTAGGGTGACCAGATATTTTTTGAAAAAATAGAGGACATCCCAAGTGTCTACCAATTTTATTTGTTTTCTTGCCGAATTAAAACAAATCAAAACTATTTTATTTTTTAAAAATGAAAAAATGGAGGACCGTCCTCTGAAAAACCAAGCAGATGATCAGCCTAGCTATCCATGCACTTCAGAAGAGTAGGATTACTTGATGCGACTACATTTTAAGGTCAATTTTTGTATGCAATTTATTTATCGGACTCCACATCATGATGATGATAATAATAATGATGATGATGATGATCTGGAAGACATGAAATTATAATGCGAAAAACATAATAATAAAACATAAAAGGAAAAAAAGAAAGAAAAAACTCGTATAAAGATCAGAAATGATGAATGAAATATTGTCTAAAGTAAAAGATTTTTTTAGCCATAATTCTTCTTTTCATGTAATCAAACATAGTGTTTAATAATAAACATAACATACATACCTATCATTGTCGATTATTATTACACAAGAAAATATTGTAAAAAAATATATATGAAAGAGTTAAGCCGAAAAAAATGTGTTGTACGTACACATAAAGACCGAGTGGAGAGATATGTTATAGAGTAGACAATAAAGAAATGAGAGGCAATGCGAAATAAAGAAAAATTGCAAAAAAATTTCTTTAATCTTCATAATCAGCAAACAATAATGCGAAAACATTAATATCCAATTTTTTCCACTTCTTTTGCTATCGTTCATATAGCAAAATATAAAAATATCGGTAGATTGTATAATAAGAAGAATTATTACAGAAGCACCATTGGACGCACCATTCAACGCTTTTGTAATCAATTAATCATTCCAGCTACTGGTCGCAATAATACTTTATCTTTCTTTCTATCTCGCGCTGTGGCCAAGCGATTGTGAATGATGATAGACCTGTATATGATCTATAGAAATACAATATGCGTATAGATATACTTGTAGGAGCTTATGTTTAATTATATCTTATGCTTACTCTTTCTATCGACTTATTTATTTACTCTTTGTTGGTTTTATTGGTTGATGTATTGATTTGTGAGGACTTTGAGGGGTTTGGGATGTAAAATTGTCTACCTGATTGACACCTTTTGATTGTGGATTGATTAAACATTCATACATTCTGGATTGATCCCAAAAATTCCGAAAAATCCCAGCACTTCCTGTCATCAAACCTTGAGTTCTACATGAAATCCCTCAATTATTAATCAACTTAAGCATGGGTTCAAAGTTTGATGACAGAAAATGCTGGGATTTTTTGGGGATATTATGGATTTTTGTGATTAATCCTCAGTGCATATGCCTTAGATTAAACTCAATTGTGATCGTCAATATCATGATCTTGAGGTAACCAAACATGACTAAGACGTCATTCATTGATTCATTGAAAAACTTTCACCAGGAGTGTAGCTAGGGTAGGAATTAGGCACCTTACGATCCTTAACAATAACTAAAATGATTTTGACCATTCTTGATACATTCTGGATTAATGAAGAGCTCCCTTCAACTGTCGTATGTGTATACAAATGTAAAACAAGTCAGGTTTGATGGGAATCGAACCCATGACCTCAAAAGAGGCGATCTCTGACAACTCTATCAGAGATCCCAGCCACTTGGACACCTAGGTACTTATTTTACTTTGGCTATCCATCATACACATATAACCAGTTTCAACACGAGCTCTATGTTCAGGCCTATCTACTACAGAATACTCTTTTGAGCCATATCTACAGTTAACACTAGTTATTTGAATTTATTTGGTTGCTGCTTATGACAAGCAATTGGTCAAAGTATCGAAATAATACGAAGATTTTTGCAAGTATCCTTTAGGGTACTCTAGAGTTCTATAGGGTATGGATCTATTAAACTTACAATTTAATCAAATTATAATTGAACAGAAAAATCATTCTTCGAATAAAATGTCCACAAATCACACCACCTACCCATTAATCCTGACGATTATTTCACATTTTCTGAATGTAAACTATGCAGCGATGTTGTACTATACTCATTGCAAAAGCTTAATTAATTTTAACTCATTGTCGATTGCAATCATCATCTACTTCATTATTATTTTCTTCGCTCCATCATCTCCATCATCTTATGTTGTGATCGATGTTTTACTGCTTATGTTATCTCGCGACCGGTTTTAATTGTAATGTTATTTATTATTACTTACTAGTCGCAACATGTTGACAATACCACATGATGATAATAAATAATGAAATATTAAATAAAAAGCGAAAATTCTTCACTAAAACAATTTATGAATTAACAAAAAATAAAATGTTAAGCTTTATCCTCGCACTGAATACAACATGAGTCTTACGAAATCAAAAAAAGAGGCGTCGTGTTGGGTGTTATTGTCTGTCAGTATGACAAAACTATGCTTAATTGGTGGGCTGATTATGTTTTGATTAGGGTTGTAGCTGAGACTTATTAACACTCAAGGCTATAAAGTTATTTTAATACCTAGCAAAAAAATATTTTTTGGGAGTTAATGAAAAATTTATTTTTTATGCAAATTTGATGTTGGCGATGAAATGTGAGAAAAAAAAGTTCATGGCATCAAATTGATTTTTGATTTGAAGGCAAGAAATTTGGAGAATAAAAGAAATATTGATGAATTTAAGTTGGTAGGTAGCCGAGAGACACACCTTTTAGAATTGAATTTTTTTTGTTTGTGCTGCTGGGAATGAAATTTGACAATATTTTATTGATGCTGATTAATTTTAATTTGTGGAATTTTGTTTGAGGTATTATTTGCAAAAGATTTTATTTATAAACTTGAGAGTTAAGCTGTATTTGAGGTGTTAAAGCAAACAATCTTGATAAACTGTCAAAAGTTGATCAACAAATTAAGGAATTTATGCATTTTGGGATGATTTTGAATTTAGGTATGGGAACCAAATTGCTAGTCAACTTCTAGTGACTTGTTAGGGTTCTGGGCAATCGGAATCATGCCTCAATGTCTCCATATAAATCCTTTTAATAAAGGATCAGTCAATCAATGTTTTTGGACAATGAAAACTATGTTGGGTTGAGCATTAGCTGCAAACCCTCCTTTTATACTGCATATAAAGCTCACAGCCTTCCCTTGAAGGCTCCAGACATCATTGTCATCAACGGATTTAGATCAATTTCTAAGCCAGAGCTCGAAGTTGATAGGGTTCGAATCGACTCGAGTGGTTTGGTGCAACCTCACTCGTTAAATTTCCATTAGCTTAGAATCATAATCAGAATTGATCTGAATAGGCAAAGGTTTCTTTTTACCTGCTAGCACTAACCTGAATAAAATAATATTAAAGATAAGTGCCCCAAATTGATCTTGATATGACCAAAAAGTTCGCTTTTTCCATCCACAAAACACGCAAAATCTCCACAAACTTGCTAATTTATTTTATTATTTTCTCATTTTGATCTTGTGAATGGTACTTGTATTTCATAATTCATCGGACTAAGAAAAGAAACAACTCAACAGAATGGAAGAAGATCAAGCATATAAAAAAGGGGAAAAAAGTGAATTAAGTTGAAGGGAAAATTGCAGTTAAGAATGAAGAAGCAAGAGTAGTAAAAAAAAAGAGAAGGCTGCGAAAAGAAATTAATGGACAATTCGTGATAAAGCCCCTGTAGGCACGTGGCTATCAGTCAATTCGCATTTGAGTTAATTTTGTATTTTTTCTCTTTTTATTTACAGAATTTCCGAGAGCAAAGCATCGACGGTGAAGGCTTAATGATGCTAACAGAAGAACATTTAATTAATATTTTGGGAATGAAACTTGGACCAGCACTCAAGCTAAGATCAAAGCTGTTAAAAAGACTTAATCAGCCATGCAATTGCACGACTTGCAACTCATTGAACATCACATCAAACGTTGGTGATGAGAATTTAATTGACACAAAGAGCTTCTTAAAAATGACAATTCCACGAGAATTTTCAGGCAGTGCTGACTCTGTCAAATTTTGATAACGGTTCTTCATCATCTTTTGTAATTCATCCCACCAAAATATTTTTATTTTTTATTATTATTTCATTTAACTTTTTTTTATTGATTCATTGACTTAACAGAAACTAACATAAAGTGATAACATAAAAAAAATTATTAAAATATATTGATTAGATTTTTTTGAATATTTTTGCATTATTAATGATTAATAATTTTAGAAAATTAAGGAATGTACTTAATACAAGAACTGTTAAATTTTTTTTATAGATTAATAATTATCATATTTAGGATTATGCTATTAAATAAATATAATTTCAATAGTCAATTTAACACGAGAGAAGAAAAACAAAATATCATTTAAAATGTTATTTATTAATTAATTAAAAAATGTTATTATAGGATTTAAAAAGATTATTAAAAGAAAATGAAAGAAATGACGATGCAATTGTAATTTTGTAAGAATATAATGAAGAAATTAATTATTATAAATATTATTAGTGTTATATATATCATATATGAATATATTTAGGAAATTTATAAAAAAAGACAAATAATTTATGAAATATAGTGCCTTTTTCAAAAAGTTAAAAAAGAAAAAGAATTCAACGTCAATATTATGTCAAGTGGGTGAAAAATGCATTTTAATTTTGGGGATTTTAATTCGTATTTTTTTGAGGTAATTTTTAAAATATTCAAAACTTTAAAAAACTTTTAAAGCAGGTAAACTTTTTATCAATATTTTTTAATAAATAATAAAATTTAAGTCTGACCTGATGAATAATTATTGATTTTTCTTAAAAGAAAAAATTATAAATATTTTAAAATCCTCCCAAAAATTGGAAATCAATACCTAAAACAAAACTGCATTTTTTAATCCATTTGAATATTTTTTGCTCAAATTTCACCGAGCAGCACAAAGATGAACTTTAAATTTCACGTTTTACAAGAGTTATTTCAAAAACCTACCCCCTACCCCCTCCTCAATTGATAGGATTCCAACTCTGAAACCAAATCTTTAATTTTTGAATTAAATTCAAAATTCAATCATTTAAATCAGTCGTTCTCAAACTGTATGCCGCGAAAAAAAATTATTGTTAAATAGACCCTTTATTTTCATGTTTTGAGACTTCAAAAAGGTCATGAAAATCATTTATGAGTGCCGCGAGACTATTCAGTGGGCCGAAAAAAAAATTATGTAAAAAATGAGCCTTGCACCAAATAAGTTTGAGATACACTGATTTAGTCAAAAACCTACCCCCCCTTCCCTCCCACTCTTCAACTTGATTAATTCTTGAATATAATTTCAATAATTTAAAAAGAACTTTAGTCTTATATGGCAACAATTTATTCAATTATTTACAAAAGATAGATTTAAAGAATTTTAAAAAAATCAATACAATTTTTCGCTTACATAATTTAAATAAAATTATGTCAAAATAAATATATAAAAATGTCCATCAATTTAATAAAGTAAATTGAGCGTCAAAATGTCAGCAAGAGATTGACATGACCATAAAATTATATAAATGATTTCAATTTCAACTCAGAATTGACTCTTAATTAAAAACTGAATTGAAAGAATCGATCAAGAATAAACCAGCCCCCTCTCCTGCTCAAGCTTCATAGATTAATTTTGATATTTTGCAAATTAATGAAAAATTAAAAAATTAAACTCAATAATTTTAAATTATTGACAAATTATTTACCATCCAAAATCTACAACGCACCAATAACCCTCCTGTGCTGCTCGGTTCACACCTTCTTCATAATTTCTCTTAATTTAATATTAATATTGAAAGTCATACATAAGAAATTTGATAGAAACAAGTAAATCTTCTCTTCATTTAAATCAGTATTTATGCTAATGTTATATGAGAAAAAAAATAAATAAGTGGCAAAATAAAATTTTAAAAAATTTATAATTATTAAAATGATTTATTGTTTATTTTACTATCAAATATTTGTATTCAAATTCAGCATTTTTACGATTTCAGAAACTGTTTTTTTTTTATTTTCTTAGAAAAAAATAAACTTTTTTGATTCAAAAAGTTGTTAACGGATTTTTAAAATTTGAATTTTTGCTTTCAAAACCTTACAAAAAGCTTTTATTTGAATTTTAAAAATTCGTTGAGTTAAACTTTAAAAACTTTTCCAGCCAGCTTAAAAAATTCAATTAAAAAACTTTATCGCTGTTTTTATTTTTATTTTTTATCAGAAACTTCTTCCTGAACGCCCCCTAGGGATATAAAAGTGCACTGTATTAACCTACAAATCATAGTTCAGTTTAATTTATTAAACATTCAACAACTAACCATCAAAAAAATGATGAATCAACCGATTGAAATGAAAGAGTTTTCTGCTGAATCCGAGTTCGACTGGAACCTGACCATCTTAGCTAAAAGTGATTGGGATAAAAACTTCATCGTGATGTCTGACGAGGTCGATTTCAAAGAAGCTGAAGCAAAATGGTCATTGCAACTGTCATCATGCAGCTGGGGCACTAGCAGCATCTTCGTTGTCTCGAGATTCTTCTTGAAGAAAGTCAACTTTGATAAAAATGCCAAATTCAAGTTTGAGATTCTGTTAAAAGGTGAGTAATTAATGTTTTAGGGGTGTTTAAGGATGTGCTTTATAAATTTTCACTTAAAGTTATAATTTTGATCTTAAATTAGTTTTTTAAATTTAAAGTTTACCTGATTTAATAGCTTAAGCTAGCTTGTTTTCGAAGGTAATTTAATGGTTTGCACCTGATGGCCTTCATGTCCTTATAATTTGAAAATTAAGGTGTGACATCTAGGATGGGGGGATTAAGAGGGTTGAGCAGTGACTCAAAGTAATTTCATAATCCTTAATTCAAATAATCAATAATCCTTAAATTCTATTTCCTCTCACAGACGGAACAATCCTAACATCGCCATTATTCACCATCATGAATCCAACATTTGAGTATCAAATGCAGCAATATATTCCAGTCCAAGAAGGAGATAAGCTTGAAATTACATCAAAAGTCACTTTCTTCACACTGAAATTCTACAAGGACTTGCCACCATTTGCTTTAAAAGGTTTAAATGATGCTTTGGAGGCTATGAATAAAGCTGATAAGGAGGCTGAAGATGTTAAACGTGCTTTTAAGGCTTTAAATGATGCTTTGGGATCAATGACATTCAACTATGAGACTCAAAAAACTTTGGAGTTTGTTAATCATTTACAAAGTGAACTTGAAGAAGCAAAAAAGATGCAGGAACCACTCATCGATGCTAATGAAGCTGAAGTAGATTCTCTGACTGAATCTGGTCCTCAAAATGATTCATCAGAATCTCAGATTGAAGCTGAAAGCTCAGATGGAGAACTGGATGATACAGTAGAAGGTGAACTGGATGAGGAACTAGATGAAGAACAAGAAAATTCTTCGGACGGAGAATTGGACGATACTATTGAAGGAGAACTGCTTGATACTTCAGATGGAGAATTGGATGAAGCTACAGATGAAGAATTAGTTGAAGCACCAGAAGAAAAACAAAATCAAAAACAGGATGTGGCTACAGATGGAAAAATAATTGAAGCACTAGAAGAAGAACAAGATGAAGAATTTGATGCTGAACTTTCCGAAATTGATGCCATTAACAATGTTGATGAAACAGCAAAAGCTTTCAATGCTGTTCTGCAAGCTATCATTTGGGCAGAGGATGAAGCTCGAATTGTCAGTGCATTTAGTGAACTCATGAAAACTTCCATAAATCCAAAGCTAGCTGAAAGACTTACTGAAGAAGCACATAAAGCTATTAATAATGCACAAAAGGCTGAAAAGAAAATTAATGATGCAACAATTGATGTTAATGAGCCACAAGAAGATACTGATGATGCTGATTTTGACCATTGCTCAGATGCTGAGATTGCTGGTGATGTCCAAGATGTAAAAAAAGTAAAAGAAGTTGTATTTGAAGAAGATTTCGATCACTGCTTGGATGTTGAAACTCCACATGAGCTTCAAATTACTCAAAAACCTCAAGTTGATACTCAAGATGAACAAACTGCTAAAGGTCATCAAAAAGATGCCATTAAGACTAAACACAGTGCCAAAATTGATGACATGTCTGATGACGATTTCGACAATTGCTCAGAAAATGGAGCAACTCCTAAGATTTATCGTTCAGAAGCAACCATTAAGGTACATTGCCATGAAGGAAATTGTACAAAGCCACCAACAGAAGATGAAGAAGATAGCGAAAGCAGCTTCAGCATTGAATTACCAGTTTTTGGTAAAGTTACTTTACCAACATCAGATCCTTGCGACCAAGATTTATTGAACGAAATTTCTAATATTTATCTTGAAAACATGAAAATGATAGCTGATGCATCAGCAGCTCTTCTTATTTTCGCTGCAAAGGTAAGACATATAATAAATCTTTTTATCAGCATTGATATTTATTGAAATTTATTTTTTTTTCTCATAGAATGAAAATAAAAAGTTGCTTGAAGACTGTACAGCAGCATTGGCAGCACAGATGAATTTGAAAAATTTCTTTGAAATCTGGCAAGTTGGATATAAATTGAAGATTAATGAGTTGAAGGACATGGTTATTAAGTTTGCAACTAATAACAGCTTCAAGGCATGGTATCATCAGAGCATTTCACCACATATGATGCACGACTATGTCAATTCGTTTCCAAAATCACAGTGATTGGTTGTTTATGGTGGTAAATTGAGATTTAGGAAGTCATTTAATACTTAATCAATCTTCAGTACTTTAATAGTTTATAATTTCAAAGCTAAAATTTCAAAGATATTTCGGACTGAGACAAAAATGCATTTAAAGCAATTTTAATTATTTTAAACATTTGATTTCTAAAATTCAAACATTGAAAAATTTAAAATAATGTGCAATTTTTTGAAAAAAAATGCAAAAAATTTAAAAAACAAAAAAAAATTCAAAAGTATTGAAAAAAAAATTGTAAAATTTGAAAAACAAAAAAAAAGATAAAAACAAAAAAAAATTAAAAACAAAAAAAAATGAAAAAACAAAAAAAATTTTAAATACATTTTAAATTTTCAAATATTTTAAAATCTATCGTGATTTAAAAGTTTAAAAATATAAATAAATGTATATGAATCAAAAATGTTTTAAAAATATCGAAAAATTGAAAAGTCAAATCTTTTTCAAATGACAATATTTGAAGGAAAAAAAAACTAAAATTGACAAATTGTTTAAAGTTTTTAAATATTTTAAGCATATTCAAGTTTAAAAAGCTTATAATTAACATTAAAGTCAAACAAATGTTGAAAAAAAAATTCAATAAATTTTTAAAATTTCAACAATCTTTTAAAAAAAATTTAAAATTTTGACAATCTTTAAAAAAAGTATAAAAATATCTCAGTCTGAAATTTAAATCTTTAAAAACTTTAATCTTAAAAATGCTTCCTTTTAAATTCAATATTAATGCGTCACATTTTTAAAAAGCAAACAAATAGACTTTAAATGAAAGTTTACTGTGAATCAAGTTCCTTCCTGAAAAATGAACCAGTGCGACGCAGTACAAAGAGAGTCAATGAATATTATTAAGTACTACAATTGTCATTCATGATTGAAAATAATATAAAATAAAAAAAAACAAACAAGAATTTTTCTTTTCTTTTTCTTTATTATTATTATTATTATTTTATAATTTTTTTTTGTTTTCATCTGAATAAGTTCTTACAAGAGACATGAAAAGTTTATTTTCTTTATTATTTTACATTCCTTCTCAACATCTTTTTTTCTCTATTTTTGCTGTTGATTTTGTGGCGACTAATGAATAATTTTTATATTAAAATTAAATCATTTCATGATGTCGTTAAAGGCTGTTTAAACATTATAAATATAATTTCAAAAGATCCCCCCACTCGTAATGCCATAACAAGAAGATGCTTTTAATTGTTGATCGGATTTGTACAATGACATTCCTCAATAGACGTGATGGTTTATTGACATAATGCAATATTTTTTCTTGTTTAAATAACTTTAAAAGGAGACAAAATCATCGTTAGATGCAATTTATTTTATTGATAATATTAATAGAACAATTAGATTTAAGACTTTTTTTTGCTCTTTTAAATATTTGAAATTTGATAAAAAATTTTGAAAAAAAATTTCGGGGAAAGTTTCTTGGACAATCTGAAAGAATCACACATCAATATATTTTTTTAATTCAATATATTTTTTATCAAATTTCTTAAAGAATTAATATGGCTTCATTTCTCTCAGCGATAATGACAAATGCATAACATTGTTAGCTCTCTCAAAATTCATAACAATTATATGCCTTAATACATAAATAATTATTTTTTATTCTTTTTTTTTCATTATTTTTCTTCAATTAGATTATGCATGTGAATAAAGTGAGAAAAAAATGATTAAAAATAGTTAAGCTGCCATTCATGCTCATTTCGATTTCCAAAATAAAACATAAGTTCTAGTCATGTCTATAGATAAAATATAAAGTTTGAGGTAAGACTTTTTTTAATGTTACATTATTTTTTTTTTCAAAAAAATGAAAGATTTGAGCGAAAACATTTTCAGTTTATTCAGTGCTTGTTTTGTTGTGGACCAAATTATAGAATCGTTATAGGAACTGTTGAATTCATTTACTTTCTGAAGCAGGAAATTGGATTGAAGTAGCATTGTCGGTAGCGGACTTGTCTCTTGATTTCAGGTGAACGATAAAGTTCCGGTGACCATCCAGCAGCATTTGGCATACTATAATTAAATAAGAATTGGACATTAAATATTATGGATATTAGTTAAGTTTTTAAAAGAATTAAGGAAGTTGTTAAGCAGTTGGATCAAGATTGTACTGTTATGTCTTCTGTCTTTTGTTATGTTCCTTAAAATTATCGAATTTCCCATGATACTCAAAATTACATCTTATGAATCAAAAGCTTTACTGGGAAATATCAACTTTAAGAGCTGGGATGCAGACTCTTCTTATTTAATAACTTAGACAGAGTTTCTTGCTATACCAATTTATTGAATAATCCAGAAGAATCACAATACGGATAATCGAATAGAAATCTGGTACCAAACCAGCATGACTCTGGAATGGTGCTAGATTTAAATCGAATCCAATAGCCACTCCAGAGACTTGTGCAATTAGGGAATTTGAAAGTAACCAGGAACTGCTGATTTTCTGACCATGAACTTCATACTGTAATCTCCCAGTATTAGACTACAATACCTTTTCACCTTTAAATCTAAGCCTTCATACTTATTTTTTTATATATTAAACATTTCCCCTTTAAAAGCAAGCCTACAGCAACATGAAAATCACATTTATCCATAACTCGAACATCATATCCTTAACTTCCTTTATTCTCCCCATCCAATTCATGTGAAAATGTTTCCCAAAGGTACGCAAAAAAGGAAGAAAAAAACTCACTTTTGAACATAGTTTGCCATCATCTCATATTGAAGTCGATTAAGAGCCATTCGTTCCTCAGGTGAAATCATATTGTTTCCAGGGTAGTTATTGTATGCATTATATAAGCGTCTGATATCGACACTACTGTCCTGATCCGATGATTCCTAGATAAATAACAATAAAGAAATGTGTCATTAATATTTTTTATCGTATGAATATGTAATGTAATTTAATCGAGTAATAAAACATTAAATTGTCAACTCACTTGATTATCGAGTGAACTCTGAGGACGACAGGCAACTGCCATGATTAAACACAAGCAGGCGAAGACGTAGAAAAGAATTCTTGATGATAAAATGACTGCCATTGTAAAGTTTTTTCTTGGTCTGGAATGGGAAGGAAATTTGTTTCATGTTAAAATAATGCTTTATGAATCGGAAGTTCTGTTGACTATTGAGAGTTTTCTGGGAGAATTGAGTTGGTTCCATAAGTAACCCCAAACCTCCAATGTAATGAATATTCAGGATTGTCAATACAGACATCAGATACATGTGCACATATGTGTGTGCGTACACACCTTCCGTGAACTTTTCACACGTCAAATGATGAATCATGAACTGCATTTATAAATTGAAGCAATAACTTTTAATTTAGAATTTTTTTTCCTAGACAAACTTTTGAATGAAGAAAAATTGGATAGAATATTTTCCAACATCATTCTATGAATAAATTCTTTAATGTTTAAATAAGTATGCACTTCCAGTGTTTAAAAGTTAAAGAACGCTACCCTTAAAAATTTAAATTCAAGCTTATCAGTTGCCAATGATCATATCGATGTAATATAATAATCATAAAGACCACTGAAAAAGGTAGAAAGCATCAATATTTGCCATAAAAACGTGATTTGAAATTTTTTTCGTGTTTGAATTTTGATATTTTCTGTTTGGAGTTGTTCATCAGTGATGGTGAATATTACGACAGATTTTAGGTGTGATGTTTAAGCTATGCTCAACAACTGCCATTAAATTCTTGCTACAAAGGCATCAAAAAGAAAATTGTGATGCACATCATTTATGAATGACTCTCAAAGTAAAGTTTCTTGTGGGAAAATTTTAATAAATCATGAAAATTTTGATTACGAAAAAGGACATTGTTGTGGATTAATAAGGTATTGAATTTCAATGGTTTTCAATTAATTATTTATTATTCTTTAAGGATCTGAAAATGTCACATTTATTGGTGATAAATGATCAATAAGACATCCTCAAATATCATTAATTTTGGGTTATTCAAAGAATTTTTAAAAGGTATGAAAAATCAGCACAAAAGAATTTTCGGAATTTTAATTGAAAAAATGTGAAAAAATATCGAAACATTTGTAAATATTTATCTAAAGTAACTGACGTCATTAAATGCTTCAAAAATAACCACAATCATTTAAACTTTTATTTTACAACCTCCTTAATTTAAATCAGTTTTGCTATCCAAACCGAAAATCAAATAAAAATGAGAATAAGTAAGCAATTTAAATTCAATTAAACTTTTCAATTTTATTTCAATCATAAAATGCTTTGACATATTTTGTGAAAAACGTGTAATTTAAATTCAGTTTGTGGATTCTTAAAAAATTGATGGTTTTGCAAAAGGAAGTCGACGCAAGAAGTTCTAAACTTAGCAGAAGAATCAAGTAAGTTCATAAATTCTACAAAATTAAATTGGAAAACCACAAAAAAGGACAATTTTAAGATTATTCATTCTACGAAAGTGTTGTCCAAGCTTTTTGAGTCACAGCATACCTTAGGGGTGTAGCTAGGGGGATCCTTAAGTGCCCGAACACCCCCTTACATTAAATCATTAATCAATAAATCGCACTTAATTACCAAAAACTAATTTGTTAAAAGAACGAACAATAAAATCACCTCCCTTAAAAAACCTTAGGCACACCGTAGGGGTAAGCCATGAACAAAGTTGCACACAATTTGGACAACACTGTTCTATGCTGAATTTTTACTAACCTTGAAATTGCTTATGACATTTCTTTTGTCATCAGAAATTATTAATAGATCTTTTAAAAGACTTTGTATAAATCTTTAAATAACAATGTTACACGCTAACTGATTTGTTCCTTTGCAAAAAAACAATAAGAAACCGTTAAACAATAACTGTTTACAGTATTCTTAATGTAATTGCCTTTCTTAATTCCCTCCTACAACATCTGCATCATAATTAATAACAATCAACTTTAAAAACATTTCTAATTTGTCCTTGAAATTCAAATCAAAACATTTAACATTGAAATTAAAAGTATTTAAGTCAAATGATGTTGATAGTCACTCTCGGTATTGATGATTTGAAATCAATGTATAGGATGAGTTCAGTAATGCAATTTAAATGACAAATTTAATTTTACAAATTTATTTTAGATTGAATTAAAATTAATAGTCGAAAATCAAGTTAATGCTGGACTAGGTAAATTAATTAAAAAATTAAAATAAATTTCAAGCGTTGTCTGCAGCTACAAAATTTATTGATCCCGTTTGCATCCCGAAATTACAAACAAATCATCCATCAAGTCAAATAGCAAAAAAAAAATGAAAAAATTTAATTTAATATTATCTCAACACTAAAGTCAGTCAAAAAACTGTATTTCATGATATATTGCCGATCAGCAACCAAAATTTCAGGGATAACAAAATTACTCATACTCGCAAGGGATTCAAATTACTGCCACAACAATGTAAAAGTTATTCATAAGTGGGACAGTATGGCAATTTAATAGAAAATCTAGTTTATCCTTTCCTACGTACATAATCTACGAAATAATACAAAAGACCAACAATCCTTGTTCGTCATCCAAGAAAAAAATATAAATGACGAAGAAAGCCTTTAGCAATTTAACAAAGAGCAAAAATTGCGTCAGATCGAAAACAAATTGAATTTTTATGCCTTTACAGAGTTATCGACATGAATGTAACACATTCACGATTATTAAATTTAATAAAGTTTTCATACGGTATGTGCTGCTACATTTTGAATGATCTCATTCATATGATGCCTACATGATCTATTGTGAATATTGATATACATCCTTGAGACTATTATCAGACGTAATATGTCACATGCAAGTCATATATCACCATTGGAGTTACGGATGATGAAAACATTTTCGATATGCTAATTTTGGTACTTTTTGTCCAAATTTATTTTTATTCAATTCTTTTATTATCTATAAAGTCGCACTCATTTTGGTGTCCTATGGCGATGAGAAAGGATGGAAAAAGTTCTTTTTATGTACTACAAGTTTTTGTGTTAATTTTCCCGTGAATAATTTGGACAGAAGAGTGCTGAGTAGAAGAACATGTTGTTTTGATGTGTTTATGTAATTTTTGGAAGGACATGCTGGAGATTGAGGATACAACAATGAAAAGAAATGTTTACAATTTCCAATAGAATCTATTTTTGTTATTAAATTGCCTTATAACTTAGAATCCTTTGGTTTTCCTTAGGATTGCCTTAGGTCAGTGTTTCTCAAACTTTTTTGTACGCGAAGCAATAATAATAATAATAATAATACTTAATAACATGAACATGAAAAAAGGAGCAGCAAATCATCAAAACAGTAAGGCTGACAACTAAAAATGACACATCTAGAACTTTATCAAAAAATAGTAAAGCTCCACTTCGAATACCTCAAGTGGGTCAATCGAATAGAAATCTGGCGTTAAACCGGCATGTCTTTGGCATGGTGCTGGCTTCGATTTGAGTCAAGAACCATCCCAGAGTCAAACCAGCTTGTTGCTGTATTCCTAATTGATTAACCAACTTGTGTCATTTTAACACGTAGCATAGTTTAAGAAACACTGCCATAAATGCATCAAAGAAATTTCTCTGATATCCAAAAACCCTTCAATTCAGCTACAACAATCCACAGCTTCTAAACTCATCCTTGTCAATCCACACATTGCATCAGTTAATGACAGAAAAAGTCATATCAACGACATCATTTACACTTGACTAAATTTAAATTCATTTTCATCACCATATGCAGTGATGTTATCTTAATGCAAATTAATTCTCAACTACAGCATTATCATCATCATCGTAAGTGACATGAACCGTTTAGATATTGTAATTAATGTTTTATGATGTTAAGAATTAATGAGTCACACTTGCGATATTGACGTGAATGTGCTGTAATTTGTTTTTATGTATTTGCGATTGAAATGTTTGTTTTATGAATTTTTTATAGTTTGTGTAGTTGTTGCTGTTATAGGATCCCAAAATGCACATGGTGTATTTCACATAATCCGACATGTTGTGTTCATGCTATCATGTTGCCACATTTTCAGCCATTCGGGGATGGTGGATGTCAACGTTTTGAATTTAGTAGACAATAAGCAGCCATTTTCATACTTTCTTGCAGTCAATGTATAGCTATTCTTAATTTTGTACATGCTGAATTTCCATTAGAAATTCTTTTAAAATTAAAAAACTTTTGGAAGCCTTAAAATAATTCTCACAAGCTTTTTGTTTATAAAATTCTTAATAATCTACGTTTTAAAAGTCAACAATTAAAAACAAACAACTTCCACGTGCTGCAATAGTCTCTCATAATCGCAATATGTCAAAGAACAAAAGCTCAAAGAATATTTTTAACTTCATTATTTAATTTATTCTTTGTTCTAATTTTAAAATTCTAGAGAACTGCGGAAATAGCTCCTACAATAAAGTTACTCAATTAGATTATTTCAAAATCCAACTTTATGCAACACCAACCACGTGTTGCTTGGCTTCTAATCAGGCTGATTTTTTTTTCATAATGATAAATAATAAATAACAACGTGGGTTCGAGAAAATTCTTTTGATTGACAAAAAAAGCACCTTTGAATAAAAGCCAACAATGGCTCATATCAGAGAAGCTGAAAGGTCACCATGATAAATATTTATTGGAAAATTTCACAAATTCCTGTCCATTGGATTTTGACTTCTATGGAAAATAATTTCGATTCATTAAATATGTTCTGAAAATCCATTTATTAAGGATCAACACTTGCTCCATATACATCCAATCAAGGTTTCATTATATTGGATATTTAATGCCAGATCTAATTCATTATGACATTTCAAATCAATTATTAATATGAATCTCGAATTACAAAACAAGATTGCGAAATTGTTGTGCGTGGAAACGATTGACAAGATTGTTATTTGAGGTTTGAAAAGAATAAGAATTGACCTTTTGCCTTTCTTGGTTGTTTTTGAAGATATTTTCTATATTTTCATAGACTATTCTTTATTTTTATAGCAAAATCACAAAAGATGTAATTAATTTAAAAACTTTTTATGTCTAAAAAAACAAATGAAAAA